ATAAAAAATAATCCAAGTCTGGCTCATCTACTGAACATTTTGCCTCACTTTCCAGTTAGGATAATGCTGTGTGTGAACAGAACAAAATGGCACCTTACAAAAATTAGAATAGGGCAATACAAGCTAAAGTATCTGAAGAGAAAACAATTAACTCTGTTTACCGTAAAAAAACCCTCCCATCGTAACAAGGGAAGAATTGGCAAGTTTCAGCAGCAAATAATGTTTAATGAATCATTTTCCCTTTTTTTTCTTTTTGGTAACATAGAAGCAAGAGAGGGGAAAAGGGAGAACTGAACCATTGGGTCAGCTTACTCGAGTCTGGATCATTCTCTGCTCTTTGCTCATCCTTACAGCTTGGGTTTTTTTGTTTGGTTGGTTTAGCCTAAACACGTGAAGGTTGAGAGAGGATAACTCTGTCTGAAGGACAGATAAATGCTGAAACTATGGAAAGATCAAACATACAAAACTGTGAAAAAACAAGTATCAAATGGGAATTAAGTTCCTTATTATTGAAGGACTGGAGTTCCAAATAGCCTTCTAAAGAGAAATTTGGCAAGGAACTTATGACTTGATAATCTTCAGGAGATACGATAGAAGCAACCCTTTGAACTTCAGATAGGAACCCACACGTCTTACGATCTGATGGGAGACGTGGCTGCCATTTACATCATAGCCTCACACTCACTGGCTTCTGACGGGCACTTGCAGGGATCAGAAAGCAATTCTTTTTTGTGCATAATTCAACATCGCTGTCCATAACTTCTTTCTGAGTATAGAAACTCTCTACGCAATTTTTCTGAATGTTGGAGATCAACTGCAAGGTAAGGCTTTGATTTGGCAGGAGCGGGAAGGGCTTTCTGCTTTTCACTGTAGATGGTATATGGCCCTCTGATATTATGTGGGAAACAAACAAGTGTACTGCCTCTGCCAGAGTAACACACCATACGCTTGGCCTCTTTTGCCCTCTTCCTGTGCTACTTTGTTTGCTACTGCCAAGAAGGATTTTTGCATGGATATACAGCTTAGGTAAGCAGGAGACACTTCTAGACGAAAACATCTTTCATCATCTGCAACTGCAGAGGGATGAATAACGATGTAAATGATCCTTTCCGGTTCATCCCTTTCCTAATTAAGAGAATCTATATTCAATTCATTAAAACCATCTGTGTGACAATTATCTTACTGTGAAAGCTCTGGATCAGTTTTCCTCATCCAGAACCTAATCTTTTTTGATGCTGTTTGTTACTGATTAGGCCTGAATCTAAAATTTCAGCTCTCTGAAGTGTACGCTGCCTTTAAGTATAGGATTGTGACTACAATGCCTAAGTATAAAGATCTTTTGAAATTACAATGGCAATGTTTTTCAAAGTCTTCCATTCTCTAGCTGCCTTTAATAAGGATCTTATCATACTTCTTCTCTCACCCTTGGAGTATTCTATTCCTCTATTTTTTAAAATTGTCCATGCAATAGGGAAGAGACTTCAAAAGCTTTAACGAGAAAATTAATTTGTGCAACTTTCTTGAAAAAGTGTCTATCGCTTACTTCTTACAAGGTCTTGCTAAATACTTTTACACTATAAACTAAAACTACTATGTTTTCACAGCTAATGGCATGACTAACTGCATTTTCTAGAAACTGGGAAAATACTATCTCCTGTATCATCCAGTTTAAGCCTTTTCTTTACTATTACCCACTATCAGAATTTAAAGGCTTGGCTGGATCACTTGGCTGGATCACCATTTCACAGAAAGAAAGAGAATGAAACATGACATTTTGCTTAAGGTACAATTCTTAATGACATGAAGATCAAAGTCTAAAGCTGTAGTATTCACATTTAACTATTTATACAGAAAAAGCAGCTTACCAACCAGTATTGCAGTAACCCTAAAGGAAGCAAATATATAGACTTAGGCAGGTGTTCTCCAAAACATATTTTTAATGTAATGTGCATTTGGAGCCTAAAGAGAGTAAGAGCAGAGAAATATGCTTGTTATTCCTTTTTTACATTACTGTTAAAGCTAAATTACTTCACGTAAAAAAGAAACTGCAATATTTCCATACATGGAGCTAGCCCTGCATAGGAAATCTTTGTGATAGAATGGAACGCAAATATAACGTTAGTTAAAACCAACCCAACAACAGCTTTTCATTCTGCCCTCACTGAGGGGTCAACAGTTACTTTAACACTCAAAGCCAAGAAATATGAGCAGACTAGTATGTCTCGATCAATTTCCCCAAAACTACTACTTGAACTTTAAATACCAGTTGACTTCATTGTAGTCACAGAAGATAGAAATTAGTGTTTAGTCTACTTACTCACATTTGTCAACATTTTAGAGTATAACAGGCATTCCACTCTATATTTCAAAGCATGAGAAGCTATTTCAAGAGCAGTCATATCCTGCCACTGTCACCTTGCAGTTGATATAAAACTGAGAGGAGGCACATTTTTTTGTCATAAGGTTTTTATCTTTTTATAAATCCTCCTGTAAGGAATTTGCTATAGCACTCTATTCCTTTTTTAAAGTAGTGTTTTGTAAAAGTGGAAAGAGGAGGTTAATTTTAACCAGTTACAAAGCTGCTAAAGTCGTTAAAAGAGAGCTCTTTCAGGACTTAGGAAATACACAAAATAACTTCCTACCCAGGGACTGTTGCAAAGTATATATGGAAAACTAACCACGCTGTTGCCTTGCATTTCAGAAAGTGTCTTTACACTGCACTTAACAAACAGAACAGAGACACCACAGACAGCTGGAATCTTGTTACCAGCATAAGTGATACAAAAATAGGAATACAATTTTAGAATTTGGTAAGAAAAGCATTTCATTTTTTTACGAGAATACTCTTCATCTTCCTGGTTGAAGTATTTCAGTTGAAACCCAAGATGATTAGAAGAAAAAATGCTTTGTGCATTTATCCCCTACCCCAAAAAATACAACTTCAGAGGTCTGAACAAGCAAGGAGGTATCAGTGTCTTTGCCTCTAAGGAGCCATACCTGTAAATTGTTTAATCAATTTTAAAACCTGTTTCACCCCTGCAGGGCATACAATTTTTTCCACAGTGTTCTCAACATTTTTCTGAGTTGGTAGCTCACAAGCAGTACATTTCATCAGAAAAAAAGCTCAAATAGGAAGAAAAGAGAAAAACAGGAAAAGAATGAGTTAAAAATATGACAAAAATAAAACAATTCTTTGTGTTATGAATGCTCTTTAGTTCCTTGTCCTTACCACAGTTTGAGTCCAGCTAGCAACACTACTGCATTTAGCATCAACATGTTTTACTAAAATAAACTTATTCCCACCTCTGAAGAGTAACAAAAGTAATAATAATAATAATAATAATAAAAAAAATCTGGTCCAGAAAGTTGGTTTCTGTACAGAAGTGGAGACAAAACTGGTTTGAATCAAGGGCTGAGGGAGCAAAACTGCTACCACCCATTAGCACAGGCCTTAGTGGCACATGCATCTCAGACAGGGCCTGCTGTCCCAACCCTCCCTCCCAATGAGCAAATCCTGAACTAATCCCCAACACATTACCCAGCACAGGCTCTGTACCAATTAAAATTTAAGAAAAATTAAACAGGGTAATGTAAACATACAGGGCTAAATGGAAAGTGGTATTAAATGCATGAAACTCATCTGCCTGGACACCTAAGTCCAAGTATCTGGCAAAGTAAGAGTTCAGCAGATAGCTTCATCACCATGAAAAATGAAATTCTGCACGGAGGTGATAGACTTTAGCACTACTGCACATTGGTAGATATTTAGACAGAACTACATACAATAAATCAATACGTCCTGTTAAACTAGTTTGTTTTTAAAGAGCAGCTAACAGAATAAGCCTTCCTCGTAGCAATTTTCACTAGATTTACATATACTTAATAGTGATATGCTTTCTCTTTTGGAAATGTTTTCCATTCAAAAATTTGCTAACAATTAACAATTTTTAGAGTATATTTCTGGACTAATAATGTCCAACTAATTTTAACAGGATATCTGACACTTACAAAGACAGAAATTTAAACTAAAAACACTAAAGAGCAGTACAGATTCCAGAGTATAAAACTCTAAAAATCCCTTTCTCTGTGACCTATAGAAAAAGATCTATTTTTATGACTCGAAGTATAATGTGGATCATTTCTAGGGTGGTGTGAATCAAACTACATGTTCTCACAAATGACAACTTGAGTGGCATGTGTTTTAATCATTACAAATCAGAGAAGTTCAGCCAATTGAATAGAATTTTACTCCTGTGTATTTGCAAGAGAAACTAACAGGGTTTCCTCATTATCGTAATTTCATACAATGCAGACATGGCATGAACAAACAGGTGAAAGTTGCTTCAAAATACAGAGTCTGAAAGTGGCAATACACAAACAGCACTGCTTTCAACATACCTTTGTTTAAAAACATCCCCATATTTTTCCTAAGAATGGCTAAGCTAGTAGGCACCACGCTGTACACTAACAGGAACCCCAAAACAGCCCAAAAGCAAGGAAGCACTATTCTTATATGCTCCCAAGACACATTCTTCCTCAACTTAATTCACAAACCACAAAAATGTTCCGACATCAACTTAAAAAATAAAAATAAAATATTAAAAAAGACCCTCCTATAACAACTTTACCTTTATCTAATTAATTTGGCTTCTAAATATCTCTATCACTGACAAAGGCCTAAATCACCTTGTTGAATTTCTGGAGCAAGAACCCCATAGGTACACTTACTGTCCACCACTGAAATGAAACATCAAGTCAAAAATATCCAATATGCTAGACCACTAAACTTGCAAGTAAACTGTATTCTATCCAACAGAAATGAATTTTACTTTAAGACATTTGCAGGGCTAACGTGCCATAATAAATTCTATTAATCAACAGTAAAGTGCTGAATTATATTAATTACCTGAATCGCACCCACATTTATGATCTTCATTTATAGATTTCTTATCAAGTCAAAAGAGCCCTTTCTGTTGCAAAAGCTAAGCTGTTGTGCAAATATTATAAAAATAGGTACTTTAATTAGGAGCTATATACACAACAGAACTTCCGCTTTTTGTTAAGTACAGCTGACATAGTAGAGATGAAAAATCCATGCAAGTATTTATAAAGATACTTAAAATGAAGAAAAATGGACACTGCTATAGAACTTCCAATACCCTGACATATGGCCATTTACTATATTAGATGATGTCTAGATCTGGACTGATAAGCATCATGCCACCAACATGCTTTAGTTTCTTGTGTAGCTAAAGTTGATTTGTAAATTTTAAACTACAGCATACATTTGATCTATTTCTCATTAAATGATTAAGTTTGAGGATAAACTTTGAGCAAACTTCACATCTAGTCACATAACCAGCACAAGCAAGACATTAGTGCAAAGGGGAAGGTGTCAGTTGTACATAATGAGGACTCTTCCCCTAACTGCACGATGCAATAAAACGATTTTCAGATTTAAAGTTCAAGTGGACTACGATGAGAAAAAGCAAGATTTTCTTCTCCCAGATTTAGGACAAATTTCCAGAGGATCAAAAGGAAAGCAACCTCAGTTACAGCAATCAAAAAAGTCACACCCAAGTTCGGAGAGCTGATAAGTAATTCATCATGCTATGCAGACAGCATTCTGAAAAGAGCTCCAAACAAACTGCAAAACAAAATTGGCATTTAAGTTGAAATTGGCCAAGTGCTGCATAGAAATATGCTCACACACAACAGTCATGTCTAAGCCAGTGCATAGAGAAGATAAAAGCACTTATGGTAGTTGCAAATGTTAACAAGTCCATACAACTTGTACAGTTTAGCAATGAGTCCATAGAAAAAGAATAGAGTAAGAGTAGAAATGCTCAAGCAAAACCAAAAAAAGATGACCTTCCAACTGTATAAAATCCACATAACAGTTATAGTAAAAAGACATCAGTGGAAAATACTCAACTCAGTCCCAAACACCCAACACGCAAATAAGACCAGAATAAACAAGCCTTTGGCAGACAATTTTAAGAGTCTAAATATGGCATTACATTTCTAAATAATCCACAAAATATATTATATGGCATATTCATATTAAATACTGGGTAACCAACTCTGCAGATCTGATGCTAACAACGCTTTAGCCAATGAGAGCAAGATGGAGCAAGCTAAGGGAACGCTGGTGTATCACAACAGTGCTCAAGGAAAATATCATCACCAAGTCGTGCTTCAAAAACAGTACTCAGACTCCACACTATCATCTATGGAGCAAAACAAAGTTCTCTAATTTTTCAGGGATGTGCCCTGCATAGTATATGTTATGATTCACTATTACACGAGCAGCAAGACACTGCAACGTAGTATGATTTATGGGCTGGATTAAATTTTTTGCTATTTCCTTCTCATCCAGCAAATCACTAGCAGTTTGTTTATGTGAGTTTGTAGCATCAAAGTGTGAACCTGACTTGATAAGAAGATTCATGATGTCTGGATGGTTGTTCAGTGCAGCAATGTGTAATGGACTGTTGTTATCAGAGTCTCTGACATTTACATCAGCACCACATTCCACCAGGATAGCAGTAACTTGTAGAGAGGGGAATTTACAAACTGGGTAGCGACCCACACATGTAGTATTATTGTCAACAGCAAGGTGAAGTGGACTGAAGTTATTCTTCCCTCTAGGCTGAAGCTTAAGAAACTTGTAAATAGTCTGTTTCTTAAAATGCTCCTGTTCTGAGCTGCAAGGTACTTTCTCCAACAAGCAAATTAAATGCAAAATGATGGAAAGGGCTTTGTTCAGCTGTATTGGATCAGGAGGACACTGGGTTTGTTTCATAGCCCGTTCTATTTCAAGAACGCTTTTGCACAGTATGCCCATGAGATCATCAAATGTGACAGTAGTGCCTAGCAGGCCTTTTGCCCTATCCTGCAGCATGAAGGAGAACAGTTCAGCAAATGATAGTAAACTGCTGGCTGTCATAGGGCTCAGCGGATCAAGATTGCTCTGCTGCATGTCCAAAGCATATTTCCATAAGTTGATGCAACGCTTGAAGTTTCCAGAGTCTGCATAGACAGCACCTCTGTATCTGATATAGTAGGATGTATCTGGGTGGGAAGGGCCAAGAATACGTTCTCTAATTAATAGTGCTTGCATTCTCATTTCATCAGGGTCTGCAATAAGATTTTCTAGCTCTTCTGAGCTGTTTACCTCCTTAGCATAATCATACGCCATAATTAGTGTTTGTGGCACAGGTTTGCTCAGGATATTAGTCCTATCACTGTATCTCATTTCCATAGCTCGCTTCCAGTATTTCAAAGCACCAAGCAGATCTCTCTTTTTGTCCACGAACGTTGCTCCTAGAAGTTCCAGAGCATTTATGCGTTCAGCCTTACTAGTCTGTACATGCTGGGTCAGAAAGTCCACAATATTTGTGTGGCCTGTCACACTAGCTGACAGAAGGGGAGTCATTCCATAACCGTCCTTTTCCATTTTAGCACAATACTTGAGAAGCATCTTCATGATCTCCAAACTTCCAGATTCTGCACAGTCATGTAATGCGGTGTTTCCTGCAAGAGAAGAAACACAATTACACAAATCGTAATCAAATCATAGTCCAAACCCTTCCAAGCTAATAGTTAAAAAATAGTTAAAAACGCCCAAACATTAATAGTTAAAAAAATAGCTGTTTTGACATCTGTGGACTATAAAAGGCTTAGATGACAAGTCAAAATATTCAAGATCTCATTAAGTATCAAGGCTGCCAGGCAGTTATACAAATCAAAATGCTTGATATTACTGCCTGAAAAAATTAGACAGGTTTTTGTCTCATTATTCAAAAAACAGCATTAAAACAGAATTCTCCACTACATAAAAGCACAGGAGCAGGCAATTCCACTGTGTCATACGTCAAGCAAGCAGGGCAGAAGACCAGCTTGGCTGAACAGGGAACTCCTCATGGAGCTCAAGAGGAAAAAGAAATTATATTATCTCTGGAAGCAGGGTCAGGATTCGCAGGAAAATTACAGAGCTGTGGTTCATATATGCAGGGAGAAGACACGAAAGGGCAAAGCTCAATTAGAGTTGAAACTGGCCAGTGTTGTGTCAGACAAGAAAGGCTTTTTTAAGTACGTTAATAGTAAGAGGAGGTCTAAAGAAAACATCAAACCGGTACTTGTTGAGGATGGTCACCTGACTAATAGGGATGAAGAAAAAGTGCAGGCATTCAATCTTTAATAATTGTCAGTCTTTAATAATACTGATAGACCTTGGGCTGCCCGGTCCCTGAGTTGGAGGGCCATGAGTATGCGAACAGTGACTTTCCATTTGTGGACACTGAAATCGTAAGGAACCAGTTGTATCAGCTGAATGTTCCAAGGGGCCTGATGGGATTCATCCCAGAGTACTGAAGGAGCTAGCTGATGTTATGGCAAGACCCCTGTCAAACATCTGCCAAAGTCTTGGGGAGTCTGGGGAGGTCCTTGTGGACTGGAAGCTAGCTAAGTTATTCCAATTTATAAGGGGGGCAAGAGGGATGACCCAGGAAACTACAGACCGAGAAGATTATACTGGGTACTATTGCAAGGCATTTAAAGAATAATGCAGTCATCGGGCACAGTCAACATGGGTTCACAAAGGGAAAGTCCTGTCTAACTAATTTGATACCCTTCTACGATGAGGTCACCTGCCTACTGGATGAAGGGAAGGTGGTGGATGTAGTTCCTTGGATTTTAGTAAGGCTTTTGATACTGTCCCTCACAGCATCCTTCTGGACAAGTTGTCCAACTGTGGGATGAGAGGTTCACGGTGCGCTGGGTGAAGAATTGCCTGAAGGGCAGAGCTCAAAGGCTTTTCGTGAATGGGGCTACATCTGGCTGATGACCGGGCACCAGCAGTGTTCCTCAGGGCTCAATCCTAGGGCCAGTTCTGCTCAATACATTTGTCAATGATCTGGATGCAGGAGTTGAATGCACCATTAGCAAGTTTGCTGATGACACCAAACTGGGAGATGCTGTTGAGTCTCTTGAGGGACAGGAGGCCTTGCAGAGGGATCTAGATAGACTGGAGCATTGGGCAATGATTAATGGGATGAAGTTTAACAAGTCAAAATGCCGGATTCTGCACCTAGGACGAGTAACACTGGAGAAAAAGTGTAAGTTGGGAGAGGAGTGGCTGGAGAGCAGCCCAGCAGAAAGGGATCTGGGGGTGCTGGCTGACAGCAGGCTCAATATGAGTCAGCAGTGTGCCCTGGCAGCCCAGAGGGCAAACCGCATCCACCCAGCCGGTCAAAAGAGGGGATTGTCCAGCTGCATTCAGCGTTGGTGCGGCCTCACCTCGAGCTCTGTGTGCAGCTCTGGGCCCCACAATTTAAGAAGGATGTGAAGGTCCTTGAATGTGTCCAGAGGAAGGCAACAAAGCTGGTGGAAGGGCTGGAAGGCATGTTCTGTGAGGAGCGGCTGAGGACTGCGCGTTTGTCTAGTTTGGAGAAAAGGAGGC